CTTACAGTAAAAGCATTCGCTAACTACTACCATACCATGATTATAATTGCCTGTACCACCTGTTTTAGGAATATTAAAATCTAAATAACTTTTTTAATGGAACTTATGAAAACTATTTCCCAAATTCGAACTTCTATCATTTTACCATTGTATGTAGTTCTGTATAACTACTAGTATAATTCGAAATTAAATATATCCTTAGGATGTAAAGTTTCTCTCTCACTCTCTCTTTTCTTAAAACATATTTTACAAAAAAAGATTTAATAAAGAGCTTTCAATTCTTGCCCTTTTACAACCCGTAAGTAAATTGAATAGACGATACCTGGAATAATAATTAAATAAACACAAGTATAATTTGTTAAATAAAATATAATAAACAAAATTAATATTGTAACATAGTATTTATTAATTTTCTTATTTTTTATTAACAGAGTGGTCATTTTTATGTTTAGATCTTGCGACTCTGTAAATTTCCCTCGTGGCTTATCTTTTGTTTACCTTTCATAGTTTCTGTCCTTCCCTGAAATAAATTTTGTTTCCTCCTGAAGTTTTTGTCTTCCCTAATTTTCCACGTGGCATTTTGGTGGAGATGCTGGGTAAGTTAGGGAAGACAAACTGAAGACCGCCGAGAAGACCTTGAAGCCATGGGTGGTGTGATCTGCATTTTCGGATACTGACTCCAGGATTCCACCGCCGTGTTAAAGCCAAGACTTCCCTCGAAGATGACAATGTCCCTATAGACGATACGACGACAAAGTCGCTCTTCACGCCGCAAGAAAATGGACGCAAAGGTACTAGGAACAAAGTTTCAAGACTTCGATGGAATCCTTGGCAGAAGCACGTCAAATCCACTTCAGTATCTACAATAATTGCTAGCTGTGGGTCACAGCTCCCATAGGGAAGATGCTATGTAACATAGTATTTATTAATTTTATTATTCTTTATTAACAGAGTGGTCATTTTTATGTTTAGATCTTGCGACTCTGTAAATTTCCCTCGTGGCTTATCTTTTGTTTACCTTTCATAGTTTTATGTCCTTCCCTGAAATAAATTTTGTTTCCTCCTGAAGTTTTTGTCTTCCCTAATTTTCCACGTGGCAATATATACAGTAGAACCTCCTTGTAAAGAAAACTTAATTGTAGAGGCAAAGTAACTTTTAGAGAGAGATGTCATCTTACCGGAGATGTACTAAATAGTAAAAATAGTAATTTTGAAAATGAAAACTGTCCTTTGTAGAGAGGTGTCCTCTACCCAGAGTGTCCTCTCATAGAGGTTCTACTGTATAAGTAGTTAAAACATTCTGAACATTTAAAACAGACGAAAAATAATGTTTTATAGTAGAATGACGTGCAATAAGAAAATTAAATCAGAAATTAATAATAAATATATAGAAGAGAATAATGATTAAAATAAAATATTTATAATATAATTGTGTTTTATCAACATTGGAATGGTAGGTGATTGTTCTTGAAAATTTCAAAACATTTTTGAATGGATTTCAAAGGTATAATTCCCCATCCCCTTAGGTAGAGTTTCACAAATCTAATTACAGAGTTTGGATTTTACTAATATATTATAGTCCGTTATCTCAACATTTTTCAAAGTGCAATATGCTATTATTAAAGTTTTAATTATAAATAATATGTGAAATGTTTTTTATGATGCATTAGCGCGCCAACTGTTATCAAAATTCGAAACTATTATAGACGCGTATGTAAAACGAAAATTGAAATTATACCGCGAATGTTTCTTTTATAAAAATCTAAATTTATTTTCAAAGAGAAATAGCGACATTTCTAACTTTGAGGATGAGGTATGGAAAGGTGAAACATGAAGAGTAATGGCGAACGGAAAAATAAAAAGTGTCCAGGGGCGGGAATCGAACCCACACCCTTCTGCTTACCGGGCAGGTGCCTTGTCCACTCGGCTACCCTGGACGTATTTTTCCGTTCGTAACTAATACTTAAAGTAACATTTAAAATACAATATAACGCGGCTGATGATTGTAAAACGAAAATTGAAATTATACCGCGAATGTTTCTTTTATAAAAATCGAAATTTATTTTCAAAGAGAAATAGCGACATTTCTAACTTTGAGGATGAGGTATGGAAAGGTGAAACATGAAGAGTAATGGCGAACGGAAAAATAAAAAGTGTCCAGGGGCGGGAATCGAACCCACACCCTTCTGCTTACCGGGCAGGTGCCTTGTCCACTCGGCTACCCTGGACGTATTTTTCCGTTCGTAACTAATACTTAAAGTAACATTTAAAATACAATATAACGCGGCTGATGATTGTAAAACGAAAATTGAAATTATACCGCGAATGTTTCTTTTATAAAAATCGAAATTTATTTTCAAAGAGAAATAGCGACATTTCTAACTTTGAGGATGAGGTATGGAAAGGTGAAACATGAAGAGTAATGGCGAACGGAAAAATAAAAAGTGTCCAGGGGCGGGAATCGAACCCACACCCTTCTGCTTACCGGGCAGGTGCCTTGTCCACTCGGCTACCCTGGACGTATTTTTCCGTTCGTAACTAATACTTAAAGTAACATTTAAAATACAATATAACGCGGCTGATGATTGTAAAACGAAAATTGAAATTATACCGCGAATGTTTCTTTTATAAAAATCGAAATTTATTTTCAAAGAGAAATAGCGACATTTCTAACTTTGAGTATGTTTATTTTATAAATAAAACAATTTCTACTGCCCTTACTGCAATGGTAAAATTAATGGGAGGGCCTGGCTCCTCAGTGGTGAACCCTCCCAGCGGTTTCGCCAGTTTAATCTAGCATGTTTTTTTTTTTTTTTTAAGAATTTTCAAAAGAATCATACGCGTCTATAATACCGCGAATGTTTCTTTTAAAAATCGAAATTTATTTTCAAAGAGAAATAGCGACATTTCTAACTTTGAAGATGAGGTATGGAAAGGTGAAACATGAAGAGTAATGGAGAACGGAAAAATAAAAAGTGTCCAGGGGCGGGAATCGAACCCACACCCTTCTGCTTACCGGGCAGGTGCCTTGTCCACTCGGCTACCCTGGACGTATTTTTCCGTTCATAACTTATATTTAAAGTAACATTTAAAATACAATATAACGCGGCTGATGATTGTAAAACGAAAATTAAAATTATACCGCGAATGTTTCTTTTAAAAATCGAAATTTATTTTCAAAGAGAAATAGCGACATTTCTAACTTTGAAGATGAGGTATGGAAAGGTGAAACATGAAGAGTAATGGAGAACGGAAAAATAAAAAGTGTCCAGGGGCGGGAATCGAACCCACACCCTTCTGCTTACCGGGCAGGTGCCTTATCCACTCGGCTACCCTGGACGTATTTTTCCGTTCATAACTTATATTTAAAGTAACATTTAAAATACAATATAACGCGGCTGATGATTGTAAAACGAAAATTAAAATTATACCGCGAATGTTTCTTTTAAAAATCGAAATTTATTTTCAAAGAGAAATAGCGACATTTCTAACTTTGAAGATGAGGTATGGAAAGGTGAAACATGAAGAGTAATAGAGAACGGAAAAATAAAAAGTGTCCAGGGGCGGGAATCGAACCCACACCCTTCTGCTTACCGGGCAGGTGCCTTGTCCACTCGGCTACCCTGGACGTATTTTTCCGTTCATAACTTATATTTAAAGTAACATTTAAAATACAATATAACGCGGCTGATGATTGTAAAACGAAAATTAAAATTATACCGCGAATGTTTCTTTTAAAAATCGAAATTTATTTTCAAAGAGAAATAGCGACATTTCTAACTTTGAAGATGAGGTATGGAAAGGTGAAACATGAAGAGTAATGGAGAACGGAAAAATAAAAAGTGTCCAGGGGAGGGAATCGAACCCACACCCTTCTGCTTACCGGGCAGGTGCCTTGTCCACTCGGCTACCCTGGACGTATTTTTCCGTTCATAACTTATATTTAAAGTAACATTTAAAATACAATATAACGCGGCTGATGATTGTAAAACGAAAATTAAAATTATACCGCGAATGCTTCTTTTAAAAATCGAAATTTATTTTCAAAGAGAAATAGCGACATTTCTAACTTTGAAGATGAGGTATGGAAAGGTGAAACATGAAGAGTAATGGAGAACGGAAAAATAAAAAGTGTCCAGGGGCGGGAATCGAACCCACACCCTTCTGCTTACCGGGCAGGTGCCTTGTCCACTCGGCTACCCTGGACGTATTTTTCCGTTCATAACTTATATTTAAAGTAACATTTAAAATACAATATAACGCGGCTGATGATTGTAAAACGAAAATTAAAATTATACCGCGAATGTTTCTTTTAAAAATCGAAATTTATTTTCAAAGAGAAATAGCGACATTTCTAACTTTGAAGATGAGGTATGGAAAGGTGAAACATGAAGAGTAATGGAGAACGGAAAAATAAAAAGTGTCCTGGGGCGGGAATCGAACCCACACCCTTTTGCTTACCGGGCAGGTGCCTTGTCCACTCGGCTACCCTGGACGTATTTTTCCGTTCATAACTTATATTTAAAGTAACATTTAAAATACAATATAACGCGGCTGATGATTGTAAAACGAAAATTAAAATTATACCGCGAATGTTTCTTTTAAAAATCGAAATTTATTTTCAAAGAGAAATAGCGACATTTCTAACTTTGAAGATGAGGTATGGAAAGGTGAAACATGAAGAGTAATGGAGAACGGAAAAATAAAAAGTGTCCAGGGGCGGGAATCGAACCCACACCCTTCTGCTTACCGGGCAGGTGCCTTGTCCACTCGGCTACCCTGGACGTATTTTTCCGTTCATAACTTATATTTAAAGTAACATTTAAAATACAATATAACGCGGCTGATGATTGTAAAACGAAAATTAAAATTATACCGCGAATGTTTCTTTTAAAAATCGAAATTTATTTTTAAAGAGAAATAGCGACATTTCTAACTTTAAAGATGAGGTATGGAAAGGTGAAACATGAAGAGTAATGGAGAACGGAAAAATAAAAAGTGTCCAGGGGCGGGAATCGAACCCACACCCTTCTGCTTACCGGGCAGGTGCCTTATCCACTCGGCTACCCTGGACGTATTTTTCCGTTCATAACTTATATTTAAAGTAACATTTAAAATACAATATAACGCGGCTGATGATTGTAAAACGAAAATTAAAATTATACCGCGAATGTTTCTTTTAAAAATCGAAATTTATTTTCAAAGAGAAATAGCGACATTTCTAACTTTGAAGATGAGGTATGGAAAGGTGAAACATGAAGAGTAATAGAGAACGGAAAAATAAAAAGTGTCCAGGGGCGGGAATCGAACCCACACCCTTCTGCTTACCGGGCAGGTGCCTTGTCCACTCGGCTACCCTGGACGTATTTTTCCGTTCATAACTTATATTTAAAGTAACATTTAAAATACAATATAACGCGGCTGATGATTGTAAAACTAAAATTAAAATTATACAGCGAATGTTTCTTTTAAAAATCGAAATTTATTTTCAAAGAGAAATAGCGACATTTCTAACTTTGAAGATGAGGTATGGAAAGGTGAAACATGAAGAGTAATGGAGAACGGAAAAATAAAAAGTGTCCAGGGGCGGGAATCGAACCCACACCCTTCTGCTTACCGGGCAGGTGCCTTGTCCACTCGGCTACCCTGGACGTATTTTTCCGTTCATAACTTATATTTAAAGTAACATTTAAAATACAATATAACGCGGCTGATGATTGTAAAACGAAAATTAAAATTATACCGCGAATGTTTCTTTTAAAAATCGAAATTTATTTTCAAAGAGAAATAGCGACATTTCTAACTTTGAAGATGAGGTATGGAAAGGTGAAACATGAAGAGTAATGGAGAACGGAAAAATAAAAAGTGTCCTGGGGCGGGAATCGAACCCACACCCTTCTGCTTACCGGGCAGGTGCCTTGTCCACTCGGCTACCCTGGACGTATTTTTCCGTTCATAACTTATATTTAAAGTAACATTTAAAATACAATATAACGCGGCTGATGATTGTAAAACGAAAATTAAAATTATACCGCGAATGTTTCTTTTAAAAATCGAAATTTATTTTCAAAGAGAAATAGCGACATTTCTAACTTTGAAGATGAGGTATGGAAAGGTGAAACATGAAGAGTAATGGAGAACGGAAAAATAAAAAGTGTCCAGGGGCGGGAATCGAACCCACACCCTTCGGCTTACCGGGCAGGTGCCTTGTCCACTCGGCTACCCTGGACGTATTTTTCCGTTCATAACTTATATTTAAAGTAACATTTAAAATACAATATAACGGAAAAAAGAATGAAATAAAGAATGCTGGGACGACGACCTGGGTGTAAATAAAAAAAAGTCGGCAAACAGGAACTCTGCGATGGACGAGGGGTGGTTAGAACGAAGGCATAGAAGGCCAATGGAAAATGATCAAGAGACGAGAGAAGCATGGAAGGCCTATAATTGAATGATTGACAGGTAAGAGTGTTGAAGTAGGAAGGACTATCTCTGCTAATGATGGATGCTAATGATGTAACAAGGTCATTCCACCCCTTTAGAAGTAGGGATGGGAAAAGACGAAGTAGAAGAAAAAACAATTAGGGGGGAGTTCAGTGTGTCCTTGATTTGTTTGTCGTTGGGATGAAGACTGGAATTAATTGTTCTTTAATGTAGGCCAAGATGACGTCTCATATGGTGTCATGTACAGGATCGATGTTTAGAGATGGTGGGGACCTAATTTTTAAACGGGGTTGACAAAATTATAAACTATCCTATAACATTATAAAATTAAGATTTGGTATAAAAGGATTTTTATATAATTTTCCTATCCGTTTTAATCTGGCAGGTTCCTCTGTTAGAAGGATATAAACTTTAATCTGTAATATTGAAATCGTGGGTGTGAATAATTGGGAAAAGGTAGGCTATAAAAGAATTAATTAATTAACTAGTGTATAAATAAATGTGTTATGATCATGCGAAATGTGTTAATGGGATATGGGATATGCGAGAGGAATTAAAATTGATGTGAACAATGTAGAAGTGCGAAATAAAAATGTATTTAATACGTAATTAACAATTTAACACAGGCAGGAATGAAATGCAATGGGATATGGAAATTTTATGGTATGTTATTTAGTTTTCGCATATTACATTTGTAGTTGTATTTATAATTGTGGGAAAAATGGGAGGCACATTTTGAGATGAGACAATTTAAAATTGACATTTATAAAAATACAAATCTAGGACTAGTTTTTAAAAAACTTTGAAATATTGAGAAATATCAATTGGAATAGCAATAGGTCAAGTTAAATAAGGAGCGTAATACTATGGCCATAAATAAGGTATTAAAAAAAAACACACAAATAAGTTTAGAAAATATGATTCGAGTAATTAAAATATAATATGATTTTTTATGTAAAATTGAAAGTTGCATATTAGGATAATGCCATTTTAAGTGAATTTAAGAAAGGCATGTAAGATTAATAAATTGGCAAAAATGCGTGATTGAATATTTTTAATAGTAAAATTGAAAATGATGAATTACAATTTATAATTTGATTAAAATGAAGTAAAAATGATAAATGAAAGTATGAAAGTTTAAAAAATTGAACAAAAATGATATTAAAAAGGTTATAATTGATTTTAAAATGCTTAAGGTGAAAATATAAGAATAAAATTTATGGGGAAAATGGCAGAAACAAAGTTTAAAGTACCTTGAAATGGTTGATGCTGGCTGGAGTTGATCTCTGGAGATGGCTGTATGGAAGAAGGCTGCTTGTTGCGTGGGATCTGTCGAACGAGGAGATAATGGCCTCGTCCGCACGAGGCACGGCTTGTCCCCGCATGGCGTCTGCCAGGCGGCCTACTAGGTCGTCGCAGTGGGGCTGCATGTTGGTGAGGGCATCCGCGAAGTAGTCGTCCCTGACCTCCGTCATCCTCTGCAGCTGCTGTCCTCAGTTATCCTGTCGACTTTAACGGATTCTGTAGTAATCCCGTTGTGGAATGTGCTGGGCAGTCGTGGTAGTGGGTGCGTGATGGGATTCCCGCACTGGGACAGCAAGAGACAGAGGCAGGTCTAGATGGTACTCCAAGAAGGTAGAGGTAGACCACGGACGAAGGCAGACAGACCACGGGCGCCGCGGATGCCTACATCGCGGATAGGGGTGAGAGACCCGACCGTATGACGGCGTCGCTCTGAAACCAACTGAAACAACTAACTAACTGCTTTGTCCCAATCTTGGGGGGCTTTTATATGAGACGCTCGCAGATGGCGGCGAGTTCTAATTGGCTCCCGTAATCACGCCACCTGCCAAGCGCTGGGTTATTATTTATGTCTGGCCACCTGTTCGGCCACCTGCTGACGGGGGAATGAACTCATTAGCATAAACACCTGTTAGTCTGGGTTGTTTATCACGTCTGGCCTTTGTCGTCTGGACTTTTGTCGCGTCGTCTACCTCTACATCTTTATTTTATTGTCACTTTGTTACAAGTTCGATACATATTTTATATAGATATGGGGTTATTATAATTATTATAAGAAGGTTGTGATCTAAATAGCTCAAAATATACTACATATATATATATATATATATATATATATATATTCGATAATAAAAGGCATATATTGGATTTAATTTATATTAATATTAAATCCACACACACACACACACAATATATGCCTTTTATTATCTTATGAATTAAATATGGATTGCTCTATTTTCAAAACGATTTAACCAGTTTTGGTACCGACACGCTTCGCCTAGCAAGAACAATGGAAAGGCTTAGACTTTCTAATAATTAAATCCAATATATGCCTTTTATTATCTAATGAATTAAATATGGGTTGCTCTACTTTTAATATATATATATATATGTCGTATTATGGTAAGTCTTTGAATAATTATAAATTTAAAACTCTAAATTTGTATATAAGAAATAATAGACGCGACAAAAAGAAACGCAGCCATTTTCTCTTTGTTTATTTTCCAACTCCTTTGTTCTCCTCTTCTCCCTCTTTCCCCTCGGGTCGTTGGTCAAAAAATTATATATAAGCATTGACTATTTACTCTTTGATTATAGATATTAAAATATATGGATATTAAAATAAAAAATGTGTTGACTATTTACAAGTAGGGTATATATATATATATACCCTGACTTTTTTATTTTTTATATTGTTTTATCATATATATATATATATATATATTAATTGAATAGCATATTTTGGATCAAAAATAAAATATATTTTTAATATATGAGAAAACAATATAAAAAATAAAAAAGTCAGGTGTTCACAAGTTTTTAATATATATATATGTGTGTGTATGTGTAAAGAGAGTATATTCTGCAATACAAATCATAAAAGTTCATCCTGACTAAATATATTCCATAAAAATATACCATTTTCCGTCATATAGGATATTTGGTGAAATGTGTTGAATAAAATAGAAGGATAAGGGAAAATACTTTAGAAAAATGTGTGAAATTCAGAAACCAATTCTTTGAAAATTAAGCCGGTTTTCTCAGATCTCTGTTTATTCAACCGAACAAAAATGGCGTCTTTTTTTCGCAGACGTAAATTTAACTTAGCTTCCAGCTAAGTGTTTCATGTCAAGAATTTTATACGACTTACCAACCCCTCGTTTTATTTTTTAAAAAAGGATAAAGAAATCTATATTGGAAATAGTTATATAGCATTCTTAAAATATATGTATTTTTGGACGGTATTTGAATAAACTATTGTATCTTTAGGGATTACCCTTCTTATATATATATGATATTAAAAATTGTTTCAGTGATATTTTTATTAATAGTTTTTATTATTATTTATTTCATATAACAATACAAACTTTCGTGTGTAACATCCCTTCGACAGATATAAGGGTTTCCGAAGGGTGTTACTCCCGTAAGCTTGTATTGCCGTTATATAAAAAGAAACTCTTTCCTCAGCGAACTTTCTTTCATTTATAATAAAATTCTGAAACCTGGAACATACCTTTCACCCTACAGAAGAGTAAAATTATTTAAAATAATAGTTTCGAATTTTGATAACAGATGTCGCGCTAGTGCATCATATTATAAATATATAT